AAAAGCCATAAGAGTCTCAGTTTACAGACTATTAAATAAGGACCAGAAGTTTCTTATGTCCATACTCAAAATGGTTTAGCAGAAGCCTTTATTAAGCGAATGAAATTGATTTCCCGCGCTCTGCTCATGAAAACGAAATTGCCAATTTTCTACATGGGGACATGTAAACTTTACATGATGCATTATTAATTCGGTTGAGACATGTTACCGACCATCAATACTTCTCAGTACAACTCGGGTTTGGAACCAACCAAACATTATACATTTACGAGTTTTTTGGTTGTGTTGTCTATGTGCCTGTAAGACTGCCACAACGTACTGAAATGAGGCATCATTGCAGATTAGGCATTGATGTTGAACACCATCTATCATTCAATATTTGGAATTCTTGATTGGGGATATGTTTACCGCATGGTTTGCGGACTGTCATTTTGATAAGACAATTTTCCTGCCATTAGGGGGAGAAAATAATATCGTTCCAGAAGAACGATGAGAAAATATCATTCCAAAAGAATGATGAGAAAAGACCGTTCCAGAAGAACGAAGAGAATTTGTCTTATTTTGATTCACGAAGCAATCAATAAGAAAATGAAATATGAATAATTGAATGATGCAACGAAAGTGATGAAATCATATATACTTACTGCAAATGTGCCTACAAGAATTGATGTCTCTGTTGGATAAAATAATGAGACAATAAATGATTTATCTGTTGCACGCCTGAAGCGTGGCAGATTTTTAGACTCAAAAGGTTCAGTTATTCGAAAGAAGAATAATATGGCACTACTGAACTATTGCATTCCCGAAGCATAACTGTTGCATGACAGAAGCATGACAGTCGCCGCATGGATACACGTCCCAGATAGGACAATCCACAGACATGAGAATGTTGATGTCTCATACATGAAGCATAATAGACATATAGGTTCCAATGACTCAACTCCCGGAAGTGGAGATTAAAATCCAAGCTCTATAACGCTCAAGAGGAGGTTATGATCCACATTCTCTCAATTATGACTATCCTGGAAGAGATAGCGTCATGCCCTTGAAGAGGCAATGGATATCCAAAGAAATGAAAAGCTTTTATGCATGCGCATGCACATGAGAATATGGGATCACGGATTGATGATAACCAATGGTAATTTTGGTATTTACAAGTAGCTACTAAATTCATCAATGAACTGTGTTAATATTGAGTCACGTTCTTTTGTTCGTCGACAAAAGAAAAATTATTGGCAAAATGGAGAAAGGCAATTCCATTACAATTTTGTAAGAACGTGGGCAAATGAACCTATATATATTTGAATACAATACAAATAGCCAAAAGATGTTGAACCAAGGAGGTTATATATGGGCATTTGTAATACAGTGTAATACACTTACATGATATGACACAAGGTTGTAAACGAGTTCATATAAATGGAGAATTATATACGAAGGGTTGTGAGTCGCCCACATCATATCTCCATAAGTAAATCCCTCAAATATACATGGGAGCAAATTGCTCTGTATAAATTCCAAAGGAAAATGTGTCATGAAGTGTAGAAATCCCTGAAGGATTCAAATTGCTTGAAGTAAGCCCCCGAAGGGTAAAGCATAAATTATGAACTCAATATCAATGGATGATATAAATTGCCTTAGTGAGTACTATCATTATAATATTGTTGCAACATACTAAAATCTCTTGCAAGAGTCAATGACATTAAATTAGAACTCTTGAAGAGTTGATGATATTAAATTGGGACTCCTGAAGAGTCTAAAAAAAAAAAAAAAAAATTATAAAGTGTTGAAGGAATTATTGTCTCGAGCTGCAGATCGAACAATCTACCAACACGAATCTTATCCATGATATTTATGATATTAAAAAGAACCATATGGATTGAAGATTATGAGTTGAATACTCATATGATGAAGACACTAAGAATAATCATTTATCTTCGTGAGGGTAAAGATAAATTAATATTTGGTCCAGAAGTACCACATCTTAGTGAAGTATATGCTTTATTGTATTTGGCACAATACATTGAATGAAATAAAGCTTATTTATTAATATCTCCAAGAAATTACAGATATATACATACACATGAGTTAAAACAAACAAACAGGATGGAGCCTTCACAAAGGTTGCTCATGTGAAGCCTCAGTACTCGGAAGTACCCCAGAAGGGGGAGGCACTGGAGATTGATCATGTGGCACCCCAGTACTTAGCAAAACACCAGAAGGGGAAGGCATCAGTTGCTTTCGGAATCTAGCAACGAACCTCTGGTGATCACTTTGAATCCGACTTTCGGATTCCTGCAGTTGGACGAGCTTTCTTTTCATGCTCGTAGAGTAACTATTTGCAAGCACATGTAACACCCTATTCTCGTGCTTGAGCCCTCTGATCTCTTGTTTAAGACTTGCCACCTCCGCCATTAATGATTCAACTTGGCGAGTTTGAGCAAGTAGGCGTTGACCCATATTGGAAACAGAGCCAGCACACTGAACACTGAGAGCCAATGAGTCTTGAACGGCCGACTCTTCAGACCGTTCTGAAAGGATCTTGTTATCCCTTGGAGTGAGAAGATTCCTAGCTACCACAGTAGCAGTTATGTTATTCTTCATCACAGAGTCCCCAACCGTAAGAGGACCATTAGAAGATAAGAAGGACGGGCGCCATATATTATCATGACGCTGCTCGTCTGTATCACTCCTAAGACTCAAATCTAAGCAAATGTTAGATGGGCAAGTCATTTTCAGAAATGATGAAGGAAAAACAGAGGTCAAATAAAATTTCAGAAATGCAAGAAGGGGGAAATTTCTCAGGCAGCAACTTTCTGAGCATACCCTTGAACACAATTGATGTCTCTATAAAAGAAGAGGCAGCAGAGCCACTTGTTCAAAGATCGAAGAGGCACCGCTCTCCGAATTTCAAAAGCCAGATTTTCCTGAATAAAGTTCGTTGGCATTTTTCAGACGTAATCCCAACTTTTTCAGATGTCGCGTGCAATTTTGTCAAAGATCTCTGACAAAGTTGAAACCGCGTAAATCTTACTGTTCTATTTACACCACAGTTGCTGACAAGAGTAAAAGCACAGCACCACCACTTGCTATTGGGAAATCTCTATATATGTCGACCTCTGTTCTTCATAACAAGGCAGACCTGCAACTCTGCAAGAATACCTAACTCTTCCTCATCTCCGAGAATGCATCTTCAACATAGCATCTCGAAATACTCAGTTTTCTTCCTCTCTCCGAGAATACCTCTTCAAACATGTCACACCAGGGCAAGATTATCACATATCTTCAGGGACCAGAGCAAGATTATCTCATATCATGCAATCTCCCTGTCCTTTCCTTTGTCCATGTTCTTGCCTGCGAAGACAAGGATAAAGAAAGCAATATGTCGAAACCTCCACTCAAACTCCCGGTAAGGAACCGACTGCCTGGAACCTTTCCTGATTGCTTACCTAATGTTGCTCTCGAGTAGTCATCTTCAACGGTTGGAGCTGGGTCTCCAGTCACCAAGAAGTGATGAACCATCCAAATGCAAGGGTTGCACTCCACTCCGGCATCAGAGGGCAAATACTGCCGGGAGAAGATGCCACACATGCATGGGGGAAAAGCAGGGAAAATACTACTTAAGCAAGGGGAGCAAGTAAGGAAAGTGAAAATGATACATTGAAGCATGTGGAGACAAGCGCAACAAACGCGTGCTGATTCATCCCTGACAAAACTGAAGATCACTTGCCACATGAAGCTCCTCATGGTCCAATTTCATTCAAGATCAAGCCTCGAAGGTCCTTGAAGAAATCACAAGTCCGATTCAAGATCAAGTGTTCATTACTCTTGAATCAAATTCCGCTCCAGATAAAAGGAGTAAATTCCGATCTTCAATGCTAGTCTAGCAGAAAGTCCTACAACCCAGTTCAAGAAAAAGGCTGTGGAAAGTTAACAATAAGTAAAGCAACTCTTTTAGCAATTCTTCTTACTAAGAGACTAAAGCAGAACAATCAACGATCAACCTAAATGATTTGAGATCAGGGGGAGATACTCATCAGGGGGAGCATCCAAGACAGATCAAGATTTTTAACGAGTCAATCGAAGACTTGTGGCCATCCAAGGGGGAGTGTTGTAAATATTATGTGGATGGTCCACATGAATAGTTTGTTACTATTTATGCACAGTATTTTCACTATTCATTTGTGGAAAATTTGTAAAGTGAATAGTGCTTTCTTTTGTTTATATAAAGGAAGAAGATGAATGAAGTGAGTGAAGTTCACGGGAAAGAAAGAGAGGAAGGAAGGAAGAGGAAGAGAGAGAAGGAAGAGGAAGAGAGAGAATAGAGGAAGATGAGAGGAGATAATAGAGAGAGTTATCTTTGTACTCCTATTATTTCAGATTATAATGAAAGCATCACAGCTGCCCCGAGGACGTACTCCAGTCACACTGACTGTAGAGGAACCTCGTAAATTTTGTGTCTTGTTTCATTTATTCCACTGCACCCACCGTCGATTTTACAACAAATTGCTTCAAATATAAAAGTAGAGAGATGAAATTGGCAACTTTTAAAGTGTTTAAGAAAAATAGTTTAACGATAATTTTTACTTTGAATAATTTGGGGACTAAAACAACAATTTATTTGAGAAACTAGACCGTAGTACAAAGTAGTAAATTGCCAGTTAAATCCACAACCTAGAGGTAATGTTAAGAGCTTATGGATGAGAAACTGATGATATTTCCTCTAAAGGGTGTCCTGTGTATGACTTAAATTGACAAATATATATAATTGCTTCAAATATTAAAGTATAGATGAAATTGACATCTTTTAAAGTGTTTAAGATAACTAATCGACCTAATATTTACTTTTGAATAATTCAAGGACTAAATCGACGTTTATTACAGCGTTTACATACAACCAAGCTCTAGTTGAACTTTCTTCGGATTCACAAATCATCTAAACTTAGCTAATTAGTTTTTCTGAACAGAAAAAATGAAAGATGATATGCAAAACTTCAATCGAAGAATCAGGGTCTTATGCTTCTAAATTATTAATCACGATCGCATGTACAAATTCATTGCTTCAACAACGAAGAAGGGAAGCAACAACCAGAGGTTGAAAACTAGTCAGACGTGCGTACACCGTCACGTAAACTTGCCGTTGGAGACGCTCTGAATATACAAAGGCTTCTTATATGACTGCAACAAAAGAGAAGAATATACCACGCTGAGAGATGAAGCAGCCATACATGCACCGGCAAGCCACGGTTGTAGTCGAATTCCAGTGAAAGGGAACAAGACTCCAGCTACGACTGGCATGCCGAGGATATTGTAGCCCAGGGCCCAGACATAATTCAATCAAATTCGTGACATTCCTTTCATCTGCAGCCAATTTCAGTTAACTGTTAGAAATGGCTAAACAAACTTAATATAGAAATAATGTTTGAAAATTTCTTTAAAACATCGGTTTAATTTAGATAAGTCATTTGAATCTGCATCAAAACCAGAATAAAACAGCATGTGTAGCTGGGTATTGTAATTTATATTCACACCACCCTCGTAACTATTTCATAATCGTACCTGCAATTCTTTGATTCTATCAGCTTTTCCCAGTGGATCCGTCTCAGCGTACACCTTATCAATGCCAACCTCCTTTGCGATGGCTGCTGCTGTAGCCCAGTTATCACCAGCAACCATGATGATAGTAATGTTCATTGAGTGAAGATAATGTTTGAAATGGTACCAGGCATGTTGGTTGAGGTTGATAAAGATTGAAACTTTGAATAAAAGGTTTGAAGAAATCTGTGTTTTTCTAGAGAGAAAAGGAAGAGCAAGAGTCTGTATTTTTTCATATTAAGAAGAAAAGAAAAATTACAAGGACTATATTTATCACAGCTGGTCTAAAAACAGATCCTACATATAGGGACCTAGAACTCCTCTCCGGTCATTAATGGTCATCGGAGGATATCATCCATCCACTTGGAAGAAGATGGGAAAGCTCAGTACAATTAAAAAGACAAAACACCAGCTGTAATCTTTCTAAAACTAGAAAAAGAAACTAGCCGTTGAATTTTAATGGCTCCTTCTAATTTAGTAAGGTCTTCATTTCTTCACATTTCTCAGCTCCCTTTCGATTTCATCTGCAGGTTTAGCTTTTGCAGGATAACTCTAAAGCTAGGAGGCAGCTTAATTCTCAACAGCCTCTCCTAAGCTGCTTACTGGCTTCACTCCTAACTTCATCCTCAAGTAATTGAATCGATCTTTAGGCAAAGCTTTTGTAAATATATCTGCCAACTGTTCTTCACTCCTGCAATATTCCACATTAATGGATCCTTGCTGCAATGCTTCCCGAATAAAATGATATTTCCTGTTTATATGTCTGGTTCTCTGATGAAAGACTGGATTTTTGACCATCGATATTGCTGACATGTTGTCACAAAACAATGGTGTTGCTTAAGTTTGCATTTCACCAAAATCATCCAACACAAATCTTAGCCAGATAGCTTGAGTTGTTGCCTCAGCTGCTGAGACATACTCTGCTTCTGCAGTTGACAATGCAACTGTGTTTTGCTTGACTGAGGCCCATGAAAATGTACCACTACCAAAACTGAATGCATACCCAAATGTGCTCCTACTGTCATCTTCACTGCCAGCCCAATCTGAGTCACAAAATCCAATCAAAACAGCATCCTTGTCCCTTGTAAATTCAATGCCATAGCTGAGAGTACCTTGAATGTATTTGAGAACTCTTTTAGCTATTCCCATGTGCTTCTTCGTGGGACCATGCATGAATCTTGATAACAAACTGGCTGCATACATTATGTCAGGCCTAGTTGCAGTTAAATATAACAGACTGCCAACTATTTTCCTGAACAAACCTTCATCAGCCAACTCACTTCCATCAACTTTCTTCAGTTTCTCACCCGTGGGTAGAGGAATTGTCACTGACTTACAATCCTCCAGACCAAACTTTACAAGTAAAGACTTTGCATATTTGCTTTGATGAATAAATACCCCTTTATCAGTTTGTAGAACTCCCATTCCCAAGAAATGATGTAAGAGTCCTAAATCAGTCATCTCTTACTTCTGCATCATGTCTCTTTTAAACTCACTGAGCAATGTATTGCTGCTTCCAGTGTACACTATATCATCAACATATATAGAGACAATGATCAGTTTTCCTTCTTCATCAGTTCTGGTATATAAGGTAGCCTCACTGGTGCTTCTTTTGAAATTGCAACTAGTGAGATATGTGTCAATCTCACTGTACCAGGCTCTAGGAGCCTGCTTCAAACCATAGAGAGCCTTCTTTAACTTATAGACCTTGTGACTTGCATTTTCAACTTCAAAACCCTCTGGTTGCTCAGTGTAAACCTCCTCCTCAAGTACTCCATTCAAGAAGGCTGACTTAACATCTAATTGGAACAACTTCCAACACTTTTGTGCTGCAAGTGCAATCAAGGTTCTAATTGTATCTAACCTTGCCACTGGGGTAAAGGTTTCATTATAGTCAATACCAGGTTTCTGAGCATACCCTTTGCCACAAGCCTAGCCTTGTGTTTTTGAACTGTTCCATCCAGATTCAACTTGGTTTTGAACACCCATTTGACTCCTATGACTGGTTTGTTTGCAGGTCTTTCCACCAGCTCCCAAGTTCCATTCTTTTCAATAGTTTCAATTTCAGCATTCATTGCTTCCTTCCATGCTTTGTCTTCAATAGCTTCATGATAGGTTTCAGGTTCAATAATGGTCATATGACATCTTGCATAGATGTCCTCCAAGCTTCTCAGCTTTACTGGTGTATTGCTTGGTGTTGAACCTTGACTGGTACTGACTATGTTGTTTCCAGGGACATGTTCATCATCTGAGACTAATTGAGTGAGATTTGGAGAGTCAATGCTGTGAGTTTCATGAGGGGATTCTTCAGTTTCGATTATCTCAGAATTTTCATTTCCAATGGTGAGAGGCATGTAGACAGTTTCATCTTGCTTGCTTTCCCAATTCCAGGACTTGTTCTCATCGAATACAACACTTCTTGAGAGTATGATCTTCTTAGTTTGAAGATTATAGATCCTGTAGCCTTTCTCACAGCTGCCATACCCCATAAAAATTCCCTTGCTTGCTTTGTCATCAAATTTCTGTCTAAGATTTGATGGAATGTGACTGTAACAAATACTTCCAAACACTCTCAGATGTTTTACACCTGGTTTTCTCCCTGTGAAGGCTTCAAATGGTGTTTTGTCTGAGACTGCAGTGGTATAACACCTATTTTGCAGATACACTGCAGTGCCAACTGCTTCAGCCCAAAACTTGACAGGAATTTTCTTCTCAGACATCATTGATCTTGCCATTCTCCAATGGTTCTATTTCTTCTCTCAGCAACCCCATTTTGCTGAGGTGAGTAGGCAATAGTCAGCTGCCTCTCCATGCCAAGATCACTGCAATACTCAAGGAATTCATGTGAGGTGTATTCTCCACCTCTGTCACTTCTTAGTTTCTTCAATTTGAATCCACTTTGAAGTTCAACAAATGCTTTGAATTTTTTGAACACATTTATCACATCTGACTTGTTTCTGAGGAAATATACCCAACACATCCTTGAGAAATCATCAATGAATGTGATGAAGTATTTGTTCCCTCCAATGGACACATTTTGCATTGGACCACATACATCCGTGTGCACCAATTCAAGTGGATTGTTTGCTCTCCAAGGTTTCTCATTCTCAAATGGTTCTCTGTGACTTTTACCATACACACAGCTTTCACATACTCCTTCTTTTTCTGAGAAATCAGGTAAACCCAACACTATTTGTGTTTGCTGCATTTTCTTCATGCTAGTAAAGTTCAAATGGCCCAATCTTCTATGCCAAACCCATGGATCTTCTTGTATTGCTGCTTTCCTTGCCACTAAGTTGACAGATTCCATGGACAATGGGAAACATCTATTTCCAGTCATTGCACTTTAGCAACAACATTATCAAGACTACTATCATCACATATTAATGCATAGTTTCCTCCAAATAGAATGTAGTACCCATGCTCCATCATTTGCCCTATGCTCAGCAGATTTTCATCTAATCCAGGAACTAACAGCACTTCATTTATGCACCTTCTCCCTTTCCGTGTCTCAACTACAAGTGTCCCTTTTCCTGTGGCTTGAACAAGGTCTCCAGTGCCCATTTTTACTTTGCAGGTCACTGACTTATCAAGATTAATCAATAAAGACTCTTGAGAGGTCATGTGGTTGCTGCATGCACTGTCCACAAACCACACAGACTTGCTTGATGCAATTGTACTTGCATGACAAGCATAGAACATGGTTGTTGTGACTGCATCTTCTTCCTTTGCACAATTTGCAACTTGTTTACCATTGTCACAATCCTTAGTTAAGTGATCAAATCGATTGCACCTTCCACACTTGGGTTTTCCTTTATATCTGCGTATACCAAAATGGTAATTGTCACATACTTGACATAGCGATTTCACATTTCCTTGGCTGCCACTTGGTTGTTTGTTGTGTGCAGTAAATTTGTTGTTCCAGCCACTACCACTGCCATTATTCCAGTTGTTATGAGACCAATTCTTACCCTTCTTATACTGACCCCATTTTGGATTTGTCTTATACTGAGACCCTTTGACACTTTCAGTGCCATTTCCATTTTCTCCAACTTTAAGGCTACTGAAAGCCCTCTCAGTACCTGTGTATTTCTCTCTTTCATCATGCAAGTCTTCTCTTTTATCATAGACTTTCACTGAAGCTAAGACTTCCTCAACTCTAATAGTGTCTAGATCTCTGGTTTCTTCAATGATTGACACTATGGACTTATATCTCCTACTTAGACTCATCAACAACTTTTGAACAATTCTTTTCTCTGTTACATATTCTCCTAGAGATTTCAAGTTGTTGACTATCTCAAAAAACCGAGCCAAGTAGTCATCCAGAGATTCAACATCATTCATCCTTAAATATTCAAAATCAGCTCTAATGGCTTGTAATTTCACAGCTCTTACCTTTTTATCTCCTCTGAACTCTCTTCTCAGGATTTCCCAAGCTCCTTTAGCAATCTTTTCATTTCTGATGCGAGGGAAGAGCTCATCTGTTATGGCTCCCTGAATGAGACTTAGCGCCTTAGCGTTTTTTATTTTGTCTTATCTGGAGATGGTGGGTGCTTCCACTGGAGTTTGCTCAACCTCACCTTCTTCATCTCCAGAGCCTTCTTCCTCCTCGGGAATCTGCTGCGGTCGTACTCCGAGTTCTACCACATCCCATAGATAGTAGGCTATGAGAATGGTTTCCATTTTCACGCCCAAAAATCGTAGTTTGAGCCATTAAATTGTGGTGTTCGTAAATCACCATCGGAGGAGCTTGATCCAACCATCTTCTCAGGTAACACAGCTCAAATGGTTATAAAGGTACCACCTTTAAGGTTTTCTGAATTTTTTTTTAATGGATCTCTCTCACAGTATCACGCCCTCTCTTCGGAATCAGACCTAGTGCTCTGATACCATGTTTGAAATGGTACCAGGCATGTTGGTTGAGGTTGATAAAGATTGAAACTTTGAATAAAAGGTTTGAAGAAATCTGTGTTTTTCTAGAGAGAAAAGGAAGAGCAAGAGTCTGTGTATTTTTTCATATTAAGAAGAAAAGAAAAATTACAAGGACTATATTTATCACAGCTGGTCTAAAAACAGATCCTACATATAGGGACCTAGAACTCCTCTCCGGTCATTAATGGTCATCGGAGGATATCATTCCACTTGGAAGAAGATGGGAAAGCTCAGTACAATTAAAAAGACAAAAACACCAGCTGTAATCTTTCTAAAACTAGGAAAAGAAACTAGCCGTTGAATTTTAATGGCTCCTTCTAATTTAGTAAGGTCTTCATTTCTTCACATTTCTCAGCTCCCTTTCGATTTCATCTGCAGGTTTAGCTTCTGCAGGATAACTCTAAAGCTAGGAGGCAGCTTAATTCTCAACAGGGCAATCTTTCCATCAATGGCAACCAACACACATGTTCGAGCCAGATTCTCATGTTCCGAAACATATTTCTCAACCTCAGGAACAACCTGGACATTATTATGCGCATGACTCTCTTGTTCCTAACCAAAACCATTTTGTCACCAACTCTTCCACTAACCCCAGCTCCTGTGTGCACCTCAAAATCCTTAGCCTCCATCACATGTTCAGTTGATCAAACGTCTTTAGCAGCCTCTTAACATGCTCCACCACCGATTTCGCTATTGGGTGTTCACTATTTGCCTACATATTTCTCAGATAGAGGCATGTTAGCATGATTGACAAAACAATTTTACGATAGCATAAACAGTGATTTATCTCATCCTAACTACTCTACAAACACTAACATTTTTAATGCAACTACACAAATGAAGCTGTTAATGAACAAATTTGAAATATAAGCACCAACCTCTGTGGCAATAGAGACAGCACAGAACTCCTTCATTGAGCAATTGGAGAAGAGCACTGCATTACTGCATGGACTACCACGGGTTTGTTGGGGCTTAAAAAGACTTCACCACTTTGGAGATGTTTATCTCATAAAGAAGAATGTAATGCAGCGGAATTGATAGGCAAGAGAGAGAAAGAATACTTATAGTATTACACAAGATTTTTATTCACTCACAAACTTAGAACAAGAGGAAACACTCAAACACTCTTAGAACACTACTACAATATTAGCTTTAGGTGTCGGACGATCCTGGCGATTAATAAGTCATTCTGACGGATAAAAGATATCCGACACATAATTTATTTACTGTCGGATTAAAATTACTTTCTGTCGGATATATCCGACATAAATTCCTGACGGATTTTTCCTGACGGATTTAACCGCTATAAAATTATTATAACCCTCAGTATTTTTGAATTTTTTTTAATATTTTTAACATATTCTGGCGGTTTCTAAGTTAATGGTGGCGGTTATAACCGATAGCAATTGACTATTTTATTATTTTAAAATGTTACATTGATTATAAATAAATAAATAAACAAATGGTTTAATTTTTTTTTTCACTCACAGTCCCGTTACTTAATCTCTAAATGTTTTTTTTATTGCAAT